ATAATAAAATACCTGTTTAAGACGTCATAATAATTTTGACTACGACTAGACGATCTGCTAAATTAGTCCAATAATGACGTCTTGAAGCGTCTCTTAAAAGAAATGAAATTAGCCTTTCAAGATGTCCTTACTATTTGAGTTCTGCTGAATGAGGTCTGTAAGGCTTTAAATCTGACCAATAAGGTGTCAGTGGTTCATCACACAAGAAAACTGGTCACACAGTGCACAGAGGCACATTTTGATAAACAATTGATTTATACTTCTTTTTAAATGTTGACTTATTTCGTTCAATAAACTTATAAGGTGCGATACCTGGTACTTCTCCATCTTCAGCAAAGAAGCCCGCTCCAAAAAAACACAATTTCAAAAAAAAATCACAATTACCTTTTGTGTGTTGTCACTGCTCGTCATCAATCCAGAAACGTTATTGTCCACCTTATTTGGTAATGTTAAATTTACAACATGAGATTCATTTTTAACCTTTTTGAAGAAGTATAAGTGAATTTTGGTCATTGAAGTTATTTCATAACGGTCAATCAACTCGTGATTACGATTGTAATAGATTCAACGGATTTATTTTAACTTCTCGGTTTAATAGCTTCCTTGTTAGTAGCAACCATCTATCAAGGAAATCATGATAGGAAATCGAAACCCTGGAACATCGTATCAATTACAGATGTATACTTCATATGCAGGAGCTGCTGGAAAGTTGCTACAGAGGAATGTGAAGTTTACAATGAGGAAGTTGAAATCATCTCATTTGCCGTAAACTTGTTATTCGCAACCGACCACCATTGTCAATTTTTAGATATATGTTAATAACATAAACGGTACTAATTTTTCTGCAACAGAGTCGCATTTCGTCAATCAATGTCGCTTCAGTGATGCTCGAGGCCAAAATATTTGAAAATCCAAAGCTTATTAAAAGGATGAAGAGCTATAAACCAAAAAGGTTTATGATGTTAATATATGAGGCAGGCTTAACCATATCTGTTTATGTTAAGATCGATAGGATAGATGCGTTCAGCATAAACAACAAACTCTGAATTGTTTAATTGGAGGAAATCATCTTTATAGAGGGACGTAAAATTAAAGGATAGTGCTAGCTTTTTCATTCAAACTGTACATTCAAGATCCTGTATGAAGTCTGTCTCATATGAACAAGTTGGAATTGAGCACAGTTGGTTCCGATGAGAATGCCAATTGTTTAATGGAAAAACAATATGTTGTCAATCAAGAAATCAAACATGTTAATGATTTCAGTTTTTGAGTTTTTTTTTAATAAGAGTTGTTTTTTACAAAGAATTATTTGTTCCTCTCGAAAACAAGATATTTATGCAACTTTGAAGAATAAATTATTATCGCTCTTGATGAACATTAAACCATGTTTTTTGCGAAGACGAAAACGCAGAGGATTTTAAATCATGATTAAAACTAGAATGACTTGCACAAAAGCGACAAAAGAAAGAAACGGGTTGTTCAGAGGTATGGTAACATAAAGGATAAAAATATAAAAACACAACAAACATTTTTTTTTAAGGAAAGAGGTTATGCTAGTTAATCCCGTATTTGATCTATGTCTTGAATAAACAACAAACCATCACTTTGTAATACAATTAATAAAATCCGATTTGAAGTGATAACCGTTTGTAGATGAATGACACGCTAGCTTTAACAGTCACCTTTAGGTTTGAAAATATAGCCGGCATGCACATTCGAATCGTTTGTCAACAGTTTAAGTATATGAACCTATCGATATCAATTATCCCGATTAGTTATTTACTTTCGTATGTGGCATAATGTGGAATCGTGAATTGCATACATGGAAATATCTGCTTACTTTGTCAATTTAATAGATCTCACTCTGTTTAAATTAACAGTAATGTTTCAGTATACAGGTGTATACAAAGGAAAGAGATAGCTTTCAAACAACGACTGATTCATCCCATGATTTTATAATATGATGATTTATGATAAATGAAGATCCCATTCTACTTATATATAATATTTTATTAGTATAGATGTATTTGATATTACTTTTCTGGGAAAAGTTGTATATTTAATATAAGTCTCAATTTCTAAGTTCTCATAATTTTCTAACTCACTCGTATATCTAATGTTTGTACTTTGACGAAACACTTAAGTTGTTTTACTTTAGGCACTGGTATCAAAATAAGAAGATGTGGTATTAAAACGAGAAAAAATTACGGCCTTATGAACATGATTGATGCACAAGATAATGAACAAAAAACAAATATGCTACACTGCCACAGACGACAACCACTGAATTACAGGCTCCTGACTTGGGACAGGCATATACAGAATGAGGCGGTGTTAAACTTGTTTGAATGCGCCCCCCGCCCCCTAAGCCTAAGAAGAATTTTTCATCGGGACTCAAAATTCATTTCGTGATTGAAATGTGTTGTTTGAACTTTTTATTTGAGGTTATGTGTCACTTATTTTAATTTGATCCACTGATGAGTTTTACGTAAACAAATCGTGCGTCTGGTTTGATTAATTCTAAGTCCGGTATCTTTGATAAGTGTTTATGTTTATGTACATTGATTTTTTTAATGAACCATAGATGTAAAACACTTACTGTAACAGTTTATCGATAATGAATTTTATATGCTGAATACAGTTAATGTATACTTACTTCTTTAACATTAAAGATAGTTTCATTTTCTGTTTACGTCTATTTCAAACACCAAAAGAAAAAATCATATCTCTCTTACTTTTTTTCTAATTTAGGGAAAGGTTTTTTTTTCAAACTTGAATATAAATAGATTAATAATAAATTCGCTTGTTTGTATGTTATGTATTGAGAAAATAAGGATTGGAGTGTTAATATCTTTATAACAACAACTATCAAATAAGGGATGGGTGTTTCTGGTATTTATTTCACCACGTTTCGTGCAGCTTTGGGGAAAATAACATTATCGCTGTTAATGAACATTACCCCTTTGTATGTAATTGAGAATACGACTAATAAGATTTTGAATCTTATGACTGACTGAAATAAAGGTGACAAAGAAAAACGAAAAGAATATGGGATAAACGTAAATTATATTGATATAAAAACGCAACTAAGATATAAGGAAAAAGAGGCCATTGTATATCGTATTTGATCCTTGTCATTGCCTTTTGAATAAACAATAAACTTTAATTTTTGATAAATAAAACGATACAAACTTTACCTCATATATAAAAAAAAAATATATTCAGAAAGTGATTTTAATGACAATAATTGATATTGTTGTATTAAAGCTAATATTGATAAAGTTATAAAAGGTAATAGCTAGTACGCTGTGACTGTTAAAAAGATAGGACCAAACCAGGCTTTGACTTAATTTATTGCTATCGTTTTCTGTTGTGGTAAAAAGCATTTCAAAATTGTTTTTGTTTTGTTAGGCTGGTTCCAACAAATACAAATCGGTTGGAAACGTACATAATTACTTTGTAATACTGGGTCTATGTCACTGTTGGTTGAAGTTTTAACATCGAGAGTGACACTAACCCAGTAGTCAGTACCTTTACAATGACATAGAATATCACTGATATGTTTCTTTTCGATACAGTTACTGTTTCTTAAATGTTGAATTATTCAAACACTAAGGCTGCTCTATTTACTCGCATATTTTGCATTATCCGGATTTTTTCGAAAGTTTTGCATTTTTTGGTTTTAAAAGAAATTTGATTTGACCTTCCATCCATTTTGATAGGAGAGCCATTGATGAGCCTTGTGCAGACGAAACGAACGTTTGTTACCAAATTCTAAGCCTGGTATAGTTGATAAGTTTGTTTTTATAAAAATAAAGTCAAAACGCATTTCATTTGGGCACTTATCACAGAAAAGCAAAGTTTATTTTCGATAAGAAATGGAGATCATATCTAGGAACTGGCAGATAAACAAAACAAAATATCTATAAATATTTCATTTCTCCCCAAAACGTGATTTAGATGTATTTACATGTATATATGCTAAAACCATTTAATGAATACTTAATAAATGTCTTAAATGTAGTTTAAATTTCTGTTAACATCTATGTCAAGCATCCATAGAATGAATCATTTCTATTTTAGTTTAACTTTTTGTCCGCTGTAGACTGTTACATTTCTCTGTTTGTATATAATGTAATAAGCACATTGTGAACAGGGTGTATCAGGTTCATTTCTATGAATATCACAAAAAACAACACCACAATATTAAAAGAAATTATTACTTAGATTGTCATAGCTGAATTTTGCAAAACGTTTGGAATTTTTAGTCCGCAATGATTTTTAGCTTCATAGTTTTTTTTACCTTTTTATTTTATGAGTCGAGCGTCACTGATTAAACTTTTGTAGGCAAAACGAGCGTCTGGCTAGCAAACATTTTAACTCTGGTATCTATGATGAGTGTATTTACAACCTCTGGATCGATACCACTCCAAAGAGGAAGACGGGCTACATCAACAGGGAAAGCGACTCATTTCATGCTCATTTACCCGCCATGCGAATCAAATCATCAAAATGTCACAATCGGGAATAGGGAAAAGTCGGTAAAATTAAAGATTAGATATTTTTCCTGGTGTCTACAGACCTCAGATTGAGAGAACATGACGATAGTTAGTTTAAACTTATACATTCCGTATCGGACAACCAATTCATGAATGTGACTTTAAAAGCTATAACTACCTTTACTGCCGAAAAAACAACCTCATATTTAAAGAGAAAAACAAGCAATATAAACTATTGATATAGGACAAGGAAAAAATGTTATGAAATGATTCAGGAAATAAAGATGCATATTTCTGAAAAAGGGAAAAACCAAACTTAATAGCGTTTCCATAGCCCATAGAGAACATGGAATAAGAGAGAAAAACATGCAAAGAGGTAAACAGTTTATATAAGGTAGTTTAAACGTTTTCTGACAAAACATTTTTACTCTCAATACAAATGAAAATTTAACGTTATTTTATATTGTATATAAATGCTATATTTTATATGACATCACTGACCTGTACAAGTCAATTTTTCAAATTAATCAGTCAGGGAAATATGATAGTAGAACTGTTAGCGCATGTAGCGGAAATGATGTAATTGTCACCGGTTACTAAAATCTTAAATCATGTGACATAGCAACAAAGGTATGTTCGTTCTCTCCCTTTTGTCATCAAATTTATAATTATATTAAATGTTACAGATACATGCATCACGCTAAATAATTAAAGATAGCTTGAATGAAACATTTTATATATTAAATAAAACTTATTATCATATGAAATCATGCAGGTTGCGACTATTTTTCTTTTAGTAATTTCAAAATAGAAATTCAACATGTGCCAGACTTATAATTTATAACGCCATTAATTCAAATAGATGACATTTTCACTATTGTCAACATATTCCACACAAACTGAATGTGTAGTATATATCCATCGGTTGATAAGATATTTAATTGCTTGCGAGTCCTATTATGGGTCCCTTTAAGAAACGTTAGTGATTGACAAAATACTTTATTTCTTCCGTGGGGTATGAACATTATGATTCCCGCGCTGTTATGAAAAGTAACATCATCAGTAGCAACTCAGAAATGTACCCGTTTAGAAAACGTTGATTCAATTCTGTTTTTTATGTAAATTTTGCTTAGTTTTTTAGTTTCTTTGTAGCGTTTTGTGTACTGCTGTTTGTCTATGCTTTTTACAAGAGCGCTACATATTTTCCTATTTGATTTTTCCTTTCATTTGCTCTAATCTTCATTTATTTATGATGTTAAAGAGTTTCTGCTGTGTTTGTCTCTAAGGGCATACAAAGAAACTTTCTTAAATTATGAATGTCGTGATTTGTAGTGACACTCCATCAACAATGATAAGCCAGGAATACGTTCGGTTGATGTAAAATAGCTCTTTTATATTGTCAGATTTGACACGGTTAAAATTTTCTTCAACTTTTTCAGAAAATCTACATTTGACCAACATTACAACTATTGTTACAGCAACCTACCTCTCTGGAATTACAATGGCAAAAACAAACCGGAAGCTGGATGCAAATATACCGAGTATTAAGGAAAAAAAGAAAATAGTAGCGTAAAGACAAATAGAGGGAAAACTGTTGGGAATACAATATGATTCAGCACCTTTAATCTATAACTCTACTCATCATGTATTATTTCTGAAGTAGACACTGATTATATTTTTTAAGGTCTTGGTTCTTTTCGATGCACTTTTTGATAAAAGGGACGAAATAATTTTTGACAAAACTTGATTAATTGTTTGGTCACACATCGATGACATTTCATAAATTTGAGTAGTGGCTTCAATTTCTTGTATGTTACATGAGTTGAGAAATGTAAACATGTTTTTCTCTGACTGTTAATTAGTACGTCTTAACATTAAATCTATTGGATGTTTGATGTGTACTAATTGATATTGTAGTCTTAGATATATTATTTTTGTTAGTTGTTATTGGCTTTGAAATAGATGTCAGTAAATGGGAGTTATCTCAGATCTGTAGTAAGTGTCTATTTTGTTGTGGGAATGTATAAATACTCGGCAACAACCGGTCTGTGTTTTTGTTAAATGTCTTTCTGCTTGATGAGTTAAGCCCTTTTCAACTGTTTTTATAGTTTGTTTTTATGTTGTACTGTTACACCACTGTCTCAGGTTGGGGGAGTGTTATGCCTTAACACATGTTTAACCCCTCCATATTTGTATGTGTCTGTCCCGTTTCTGTCATATTTGTTTTTGTAAACTGTATTGTTATAGATTAGGCCGTTAGTTTTCTAAATTGAATTGTTTCATATTTTCACATCAATGTCTTTTAAAGCCGACTATATGATATGGGTTTTTTTTTCTCATAGTTGAAGGCCGTACGAATGCCTATACTTGCTTGCATCCACTTCATTTAAACTCTGCTGGATAGTTACTTCATTTGCAATCATATCACATTCCCTTATTTTCATGTGTATATAAATTTATTTATTGATTTAGTTGTAACGTAGTAAGTATAGGCTCAAACAAAAAAATATTGTGTATAATTAAAGATCTTTGCATTGAGCTCAGTTCATTGTTATGCAAATGCATTTTTTGTGAAATTGATATTTGTAAAAGACAACCCACATATACATATGAACTGTAAGGTAAGGTGATTGAAAATTTCATCAGCACAAAGAATTGTTGAAGAAGCATCCACCCAACATACATGTATGTTGATAAAAGGAGATTAAAGCATTTCATTTACATTTTTATACAGGTAGCCAAATAAAAGAAAGCATATTGAAATATACCAAAAATTGGTACCTATAATATGATGATAAGTCGTTTTGCCTTTTTTAACCATCTGTTCTGCATTCTGAAGAGTTTTGAGAGCAAATGTTCATTAATTTTTAACCACAATAAAACTGCATCCTCAAGGTTTCATCTAATTTTTTATTCGCATTTTAAGACTTTTAAACAAGAATAATTTTGTAATACATTTTTCATTTAAAATACATAAGAACCAAGAGTCATAAACAAATAAGTTTAAGTATTTGGTATTGGTCTGGTATTGAGGTTGGCTGTAACTGTGGAGCGCAGTTTTACATAGAAATTAGAACACTAAGAACAAACCCATAGACTTGTTTTGTCAGAACACACAAACATGCTATCCACACTGATATGTGTCCACACTTGTTTATCTAAAATTTATTGAAAAACAAAATAATGATGTCTTTTTGAATTGATACCAATTACATAAAGTGAATAATTTATTTTTTATGTTTTCACAACTTGAACAAAATTTATTGTATTTTATTTTTCTTATAGTAAAGTGTCTATGGTGGGTATCTCTTGCTGTGCATGGATTGCAATATTCCAAAGTTAACAGAGTACATTCCGGGAACAGTTTAATGAGCGGTAATTATAGTATGAGTAGGGAAAACATAATTCACATAAACCTGTTCATGTATGACATTCACAATAAAAATCAACGTCGTATAGTATATTGACTTAGAAAAGATATGTATAAATCTATACTACTAAAGAAAGAGACCGATTTCATTGAGCCTCAACTCCTCTGAAACCATACAAAGTCAGAAATATTTGTGATATGACGTATAAATGTAGTGTTTTGTACTTCCTAAATTTGTCTTTGAAACAATCTTTTTTCCACAGAAAACGCCAATTTTTGAGAAAATATCCAAATACGGAGACCGTTATCGATCCGTGTCTTATACGCTTTCGCGCATGCTCAGTTGACGTACTGCCCGCAAAATCAATAATACTAAAATAACGAGGTCATGAACTTCGTCATTATACAGGGATTAATACTACTAAATTCAATCTTTGTCACATGAATTTTCCAGTTGTAGTAAGAAAACCAGGACGGGTTCAAACAGAAAACATTTGATAGCAGAGAAAACTATGCACCTTATAATCAGCACGACTTTATCAGATGACAATACGAATACCAAAAATCCAGGCTTAAAATAAGGCGTAGGTACTTTAATTTAGTCACGGATCCGCGATGTCGCGGGTGTTTTCTAGTAAAATACAATAACCGGAGTTCATTTCGTTTAAATTTACCGAGCGCCTCATGGTGTTGATGTTTTACTGATAGAAAAATTCTAGGAAACTGGTTTAAACTGTATTTGTCGATTTCGTAGAATCAATTATTGGTAACAAATATATAAGCACGAAACTTAAAATTTTCACCATAAAAAACAGTGCAAACTCGAAAAACGGTAAGACACATTTTTGATTAATTAGTAAATAAGTAACCACGAATTTGAAAAGGACAACATGACTTTTTATTTTACATTACATGTTGTTGGAAACTATACGGTCTGGATTTCAAAGTGTTGACCTATAGTTTGGCAATCATACTTCATATTCTTATTTTCATATTAGTGCAAAAAGTATAACAAAAAACCGAACTCCAAGGTAAATGCAAAAAGGGAAAAGTTGAGAGTTTCGTTTTATTGACAAAATTGGGTGAGCAACCCAAACAGGCCAAACAGCATGTGACAATAATTGAGATCCAGTAACCAAAACTGTATAAACAAACATAAAAGACATACAAATTTATCATTTGCACATAAAAATGGCTGAAAGTATTGATATATATTTAAAATGGATCTTCCTAATTTTTATGAATTCTTTAGCAAAATTGCATAAAGGGGGTTTATTTTCTTCTCTTTTTAAATTCTGAACACATTTTAACCTTGTTTAAGACCATATTTATACTATGCAACTGTAATACAAGTGAGAGGTTTACCTAGATATAAAACAAGGATTAATCAACCAATTTCTACATTAGGAAATGCCTGTACCAAGTCAGGAATTTGACAGTTGTTTTCCAATCGTTTGATGTGTTTGAACTTTTGATTTTGCCATTTTATAAAGGACTTTCTTTTTTAATTTTCCTTTGTATTTTTGTTATTCTACTTTTTACACCAGAGGATGTTTTATGATGCTTTAATCGAAGTTAGCAACAATAAAACCAAAGCGATACTTCTCTCCTTTTTATACGCTCGTCAAAATTTTGACGGGACGTATTATGGTATACAAATGTCCGGCGTCCGTCTGTCCGTCTGTCCGTCTGTCCGTCTGTCCGGCGTAAACATGTCGCACCGTAACTTGAGAACAACTTATCCAAATTTCATGAAACTTAATATAGTTGTTTCTTATGATGGTCAAACGATCTGTATACTTTTTGGTGAAAATAAGAATAAAACTCTTTGAGTTACGGGACTTTGTAACTAAAACAGGGGGGTGTTTTTTTCACATGTCGTGCCGTATCTCGAAAACGATTTATGATTATTGCGTAAAGCTTTACACACTTCTTAGTTATATTAATCTGAAGATCTGTATACTTTTTGTTGATGATTTAAAATTTTATTTTAGAGTTATTGAGTTTTTTGTAAAAAAAGGGGGTGTTTTCACATGTCGCGCCGTATCTCAAAAACGATTTATGCTTATTGCTTAAAACTTTACACACTTCTTAGTTATATTAATCTAAAGATCTGTAAACTTTTTGGTGATGATTCAAAATTTTATTTTAGAGTTATTGAGTTTTTTGTAAAAAAGGGGGTGTTTTCACATGTCGCGCCGTATCTCAAAAACG